TTTCAAGATGGCTTTTCCAGTTCAAGGCCCCATAAACGTGGAGCACTCCCTTTAAGTCGCATCTGGTTATGGTTGAAAATAGATCCAAGTGCTGTCGTGGGTATTCGAACTTGTACGCATAGTTAAAAGTGGGACACGCACCAACAAAACTGCCGGCTGAAACTTATTTCCTTGAGAAAAGTAGTTAGCGTGATATCAGAAGGACAACACCATCAGCCTTCAATTAAAACGAAACCATGGCCGAACTGTGCCGTGCAGGTTGCCGAAAGGTTTGCTGTAACTGACGAAGGGCAAGTACAGCCTAGATGACTGTGTGCGCCGCGATTCTGCTGCGGATGACTTAATGCTCTAAAGGCCTTACGGTTGCCGTGTATCCCAGTGCTACACGTCATTGATTTTGCCCTCCCGCGACAGGACGAACAGGTCCGCTACTCACTCTGGAGCGGCTGACGTAGAGATGACACCGGTGTAACACTGGCTCAGTCGCAGGGACCGCTCTTGGCTCTTGTTCACTGGCACGGTGTATCCATGCTTGACAGGAAACCGAGTCCGTTTGAACTCGAAAGGCATGTGAGATAGAATGAGCGGGATTCTTGAGATGAAGATCCTCGTGCACTTTGCCTTGCTTGTCATGATGGTCGCCATTGTAGAGCTTGAGGCTGCAGGTTTTGTAAAAGCATGACGATTTTGTAGGAGCCAAACAATCTTAGAGCCCAAATGTTTTTTCCGCAAGGTACATTCCTGGTCTTGCTCCCTCCCCCCTTGCAGTAGGATGAGCAGGTGGGTTACCCACTCTGAAGCTGCTGATGTAAAGCCGGCCCCGGGGGAACACTGGCCCAGTCAGGTTGGGACACTGTCCTCAGGGAACGGCCTGGAGACCGTTCTCTGGCCCCGCGAACCGGACCATGAACGAGAGCTAATTGATTGGCTCTTGTTCACGGCCAGGTTTGCCCGAGCCGCACCACGCACGGCGGACCTGGTCTACGATCCGGAACGAAGTGTTACATAAACCTTCATTTTGCCAAGCTGATGCGAACATGCTTTGGGATTGCACCATGGATAGTTCATGGGTTATAAGAGGCGTAGCGACGGGGCTATCCAATTATCATATGAGCTAAGATACAATTTAACGTGGCGGTCAAGCCGGACGGTCTCGTCTGCGCCGCGATGTCGTTGATATTAGCTTGGGAGTAGCTCTACGTCAAACACATGGTGTGCCTTAAAAAATGGGCCGGACAATTCATATCATCATTCGTAGGGCTTTGTTGGATGGAATATTTGGTCGGACTATTGTCTTCCTCCGGTGTGTTAGTACCTACACAACGCCACAAATTTGGATTGTGCTGCATACATGGCTAAAAGCCTAACAGCATCCAGGCCTTCCCGGAACTTAATAAAACCTATCGACGGCCGGAGTGCTAACTGTTGGAAACGTTGTGACGTCATATACATACTGCGTACTAACACAACAGACGAAGACCCAGTCAGTTACTCCATCCGTGATACCCCGCCTCCGCAAAACCTTCCGTAAAGCTGTGATTGTTAGGCGTCCCATCAAACATCAAACCTCCAAATATGGTCGGTGATTGTGTGCGAGTTTTATGACGTGTTAACTGCATTTTACGCCCGAGACCAAGTCTAAATGTGGTTGAGTCGCAACCGAATGACTTCCACGGTGGGCTGTTCTGTGATTATGATAGTCACAGTTATATGACTTACCGGGTTTTAAGTAAAACAGTGACACGACTTGTTAAGTTATGTTTTTGAAGTGGTCGCGTACATGGACCTGACTGGGCGCGGCTTGGGCTAAGCGTTGGTGGTCTTAATAGACACGTGCAAAACGTGCTGTTCAGAACAATTCTCCCAGACGGCATGGTAATGAGGCTTGCGTTTGTGCAGGTTATAAACCCTTGTCATAGCTGGCACGCTTAAGCTTATTTCTGGAATCTTCCCGGAGGTTTTGGTGCAGGATATTTATAGTATACTTCGATAAGATGAAAATGATTAAGGTCATTTAATAAAGCGATTGTGTCATCCTTACAGATACTGTCCCGAGTCAACGCCGAACACAATGTCAAGTTTGTTTCCTTCAATGGCGGTACTTTTGTGCCTTTTTCAAACACCCCAACTGTAAGTTAAGAAACGCACAACTGCACACGCGACGGCCAAGTCAGCATGTCAAGCGTTTGGAGCTCCCACCTGTCTGACGAATCCAGCAACGAACACCTGTGGGGTACATACGGCAAGTGCGCGGCCAATTGTTGGCAGTTACGTCCTGCATCGGTACAACCCTGTCTCTTACCCTGGCGGCAAGGTGGGTACCACGTGTAATCGAACAACGTACCTCTGGTTTCCCAGACGAGCCACTTAACCACTGCACTACTAATGCGATATTATGTTTTCCAGACGAGCCGCTTAACCACTACACTATCACTACTACACTATGTTCGGACAGAGTTTGATCGCCAGTCGCTCGTGTTCAGCACAGCTTGCGTGCAGAACTTGCTGCATGCGGACGTCCGGGTGACAGCGGTCGCGAGCAACACGACCTTTAGGGCAGTTTTGGCCTCCTATTTGTCAAATAGGCAAAAATGGCGTGTTGTGTGCCGCCTTCATCTGCGTTGCCCGTTTTGCCTTGTGTGACTATCGTCTTTGTCAGATCTGGCATCACAGCATGGCAAGATTCACATGTATATGTATATATATGTATATATATATATATATATCTATATATATATATATATACATATATATATATATATGTGATTCACATGTATATATGTATATATATATATATATATATATATATATATATGCGTGTGTGTGTGTGTGTGTGTGTGTGTGTGTGTGTGTGTGTGTGTGTGTGTGTGTGTGTGTGTGTGTGTGTGTGTGTGTGTGTGTGTGTGTGTGTGTGTGTGTGTGTGTGTGTGTGTGTGTGTGTGTGTGTGTGTGTGTGTGTGTGTGTGCTTATTTATGAATTAATTACATGCATAGTTCAGAACAAGGCATGCCATGTTTCATAGGCCAACGATCTTCTCAAAGTTAAACGATGTCAATCATGAGGTCGCCAGACTCAATCAGTCTCATCCTAGATCGCATTTTCGATCTTAATCTCATTCAAAATATCATTTCATCTGCATTAGATGGCAGAAAAAACGCTGTTTTGTGCTAGGCAAAGTGATAAAGCATTAAGATTCACCTGACATGGAAGATCACCATCTCATGTCAAGGCGAATCTCAAATCGAATACCGCTGGTGTAACTGGACACCAGGCTATCTGCTAGCTTGCATTTTGTGACGCTAATTTAGGGCGGCAGAGGTTAATCACGTGAAGTGTTTTCATATTTCGTAAGTGATTCACCAGACCGAGGATAATGGTAGGTTGTGCCTTAGAACGGCCATCCAAGGCTTCCTAAAGCCAAGCGAGTTTCCTTGGTTCAGTTCTGGAGAATGGATGAGTTCTGAAAGTAATTTAAGTCGCCAGAGATAGGAAAACTTCCCGCTTATGGATTGCGTGTTCAAGCAGGTAGAATCTCAGGTCTATTTTCGTTGGATCATATCGGGTCAGAATGTCATCAGTGACATCACTTTCTGAATAAAAAAGCCTTTCAAAGCTAGACATCGAAATGTGGGCCTAAATATTTTATGTAGTGTTTTATTTTTTTTCCTTTCATTCGTTCCTCCTGTCAATAGACGAAGAGGACCAGTTTATATACGCCGGCAAATATTACAGGACCAAGGAGTTAGCACGCTCAATGTAATGACGGAAGGAAGGCCAGAAAAGGTCAGGTCAAGTCAGGCCAGGTCAGTGGGACAGTCCATTGCGCCGAACGGCATGTCGCGTAAAGTAAAAAATCTGAGAAACGTAAGACGAACTTTTCCATTATGCGTTAGGAGAACGGCGTGCTGTTTGGAAAAGGAATTCTGCGGTTCATCACACTGGACCCGACCTTAGACCACCGACCTGGTGTTGGTTCAACTTAAGAGCAATCCTGGCACGTCCTAAGGCCACTTTCAAGTCGAACAAGTCTCACACATATCGTGCATTTCAACAAAATGCGAGATAAGGCACAACAAGGAACGAAGGATAACTCCGTGATCTGAGCTCAAGCAAAGTGTAGGGATCGCATTTCTGCAAATATGCAACTGCAAATATGGAATTTCTGCAGAAATGGAAAAATGGAACTTCCCGGTGCCACGAGCTTGGTATTGGTTATTTCCAACCAAGGACATGGCAGCGCTTTAACAGCATAACATTTTGTGACCCCTTGCACGTCGGTGACCAAGGACAATGTAGGCTCAAAATAGCCGACATAGTATTGCAAAAGGATGAGTAAAGGAGTTCGGAAAATAGCGCGGTTCTACGTGTATTTTCCTCTATAACCGGCAAAACGCCAGGGGATCGAAAGAGCTTTCTGATATGAAGGTTTAGACCAGACTAAGATTCAGTCTCTGGCCGTTGTCAACTCCGCGCTGTCCAATACAGGCGCAGTTGTAAAGCATTTTTACTCTACTAACTCAATCGGTCTCTGGCCTAATCGCTCACCGTCGTTGATGTTTGATGTCTCCGTTCCATTGCAGATTTTAAGGTATGCCCGTTGCCCCTCACTCTGCACAATTTTGGTTAGTTTCAGTCCATACAGAAGCGGCCAGGAATCACAATATAATTTGTTACGCAATAGTCCGTCTACAGTTAAGGCATCAGGGCACCCTCAATGAAGGGCCTTTGCCGCGATATGTTGTGATGCACATAATCATAGCATCTATGTTCCTCGGAAGGCAATGGGAAAATTACTGGACTGTGCTATATTCCTTTTCCCAGCCATGAGTGTCACGCCGGGATGGTTGGGAAGTTAGGTCACGGACAAGGGACATACGGATCGGTAACGTCCAGCTAGGATAGGCAGCACCGCGACAAACAAACCTTTCACCCGACGCGCATGCTTCGTGTCGGGGCTGCCGCGCTGCCAGCTGACTGACCCTCCCCCCGCCCCCTGCAGCTGGGGGTCAGGCCAGACCGCGGCAGCGGGCACCACCAGCCACCGGTGACTCGGTGGGCCGTTAGTGGGGTCTGGCTCTCGTCACTGGCTGTGCTCGGACGGCCAGCGCCTCTCAAATGTCACAGAATCGTCCCGCATTGCTGGCGTGGTGTACTTCTTTGTCGTTCGTCCCCGGCGTAATTTTCGGCGATGACCGGCTGTGATGATCTTCGTTTACGACATGTCAGTTTTTGTCACGGTCACTGCTGATGTGCTGTTTCTGTTTTTTACACGTGCTACACGCCGTTCGACCTGAAGCATCACGTATTGCCCTGCCGTCTTCCTCCTCATTCGTTCATTCTTTTAGTTTATCATGCCGTGCGTTACATCCGTATTTCATTCGCTTCGTCGTGGTGGGATCTCTGCTACTCACGTCGCGCGTTGCACGCGTGATTTGTTACACTCCTTGGGGGGTCTCTGCTCTGTGATGGATGGGCTCTGCCATGACACTTAATGACGCCGCTGCCTGTGAAAGATGGTTCCTCTTGAGGCTGCACAATCTCAAAGTCATCGGTTTTTAGGTGAGAGAGATACAATCAAATAGCCAAACAGAGTATCTGCTTTAAGTGGCCTCCTCCGTAGACCGTATCAATAAAATAAATGTCATGCAGCTTTTCTGCTATATAGAGCAGGTATGTGCAGCCCGGAAAAACTTCCCTTACTTTGCTCCATACTCGGGAAACCGTTGGGTCATGGATGTGATTCAGATATTCCATAAATTATGCACGATATCATGTCAGAAACATTTATTCTGCCACACACTCGAGCCCCGTGTCATGAGAGAATGTCATGCAGCTTCACTCCTGCAAAGAACAGTTATATGCAGTCCGGAAAGCGATGCTTGCTTTTCTCCATATTCGGGAAGCCGTTAGGTTATACATATGATTCAGATATTTCATAACGTATGCACGATATCGAGAAATAAACACGCATGGTCTTGGCAGCCAAAGCACGCGTAAACTCAAATCACCACCACCAGCACAAGCGAGCGGCGCCGGCTCCAACGACCCTTCTCTCTGCGGACAGGCAATACTACTGCAAATGTCGCCCGGGCTTCTACGGCGAGCACTGCCAGTACGGCGCCCTCTGCGACCCGGACAACATGATCAACCCCTGCCTCAACAACGGCACGTGCAAGTAAGCGGGTGCTTACGTCGGCGGATCTGACCGTGCTGGATGTTACGTCTGCGGACATTTAACGCCGCCTCGCTGGCAACATGCCACTTGGGAGGGGTGGGGGAGGGGGTCTCTGTGGTCACGCGGTCCTTCGGTCACAGAGACGTTGCATGGTGTGTTTGTAAGCTGGTGTACGGTAGTTTTATTGATGAGACAGATTGGTGCACTTTACGACACCTTCAGCTCTGAGGAACACTAGCGTCGCAATCGAAGGCAAAGCAGTGTCTGCAAGTGAGGCGCACGGTTAAACAGTTCTGTCAGACAGCTGTTCGAAATCCGCGTTTGAAAATCCATTTTAAATGTTGAAGCCCGAGTGGCAGAAGCAGGCACTTTATTCTATAAATTTATTGCATATCCTGTCAAGCATCAAGCATAGAGCTTCCGTGAGCAGTTGTCACTACCAATACAGTTGTTTACAATCCCTTGCACTGACAGAGATCCATTGACAATGCTTTTGCGCATGACTCACGGCTCTGAAAGCTTCGATGTTGTCTGGCCACTCGACTGGTGACTGAGCGATGCCATATTCAGCCTGCCCCATCACCTGGCCGAGAGTTCGACCACATGGTCTGTGGTAGGCCGCTGATCTCGCCGATCCGGCGACGTCCCCTCCCCTCCCCGAGGTGGGTGTCACCCACGTCAGGTCCGCAATCCCCCCTCCCCCCCCCCCCCCACTCGCCGTCTGACAAGGGCGGCTCCTCTCCCCGTGCCGCAGACAACGGAGCAACTGGGTCGAGTGCAAATGCTACGATCCGTACAAGGGCCTGCGCTGCCAGATCAAGATGGACGGAGCCCAGAAACTCGACTGTAAGTGTTCACGGCCCAGGCGCCTGGCTCCCCTGGCTCCACAGGGTGTCTTTTTATACCGAGCGTCATGGCGTGTTCTGATTCGTCGATGCCGGGAGGCGGTGCACGCGGCCGATTGCCAATCAGGGCAGTGGTGACGGCGGCCGGACGTATACAGCACAGATGTCTGGCGGTGGCGACAGACCTAGCAGAAGCGCAGTTCTCACACGCTACGCAGTTATGAAATGAATTTTCTAGTTGTGCGATACGCATGACGGGCACACATCTTTTTCGTTTTGCTTGGATTTCCTTTTGTTTGGATTTCCTTTTGTTCCCTTGGTTTGGACCGAGACCTGTGAGCGTACGGGACGCCGAAAACGGATCACTGTGTTGTTAATAAAGTTCTACAGTTTATCCGTCGGTGCCGCGAGGTGTCATCGGTGTACGCGTATTTTGTCAGATGCAATGGACGTGTACTTTGCAGTGATATATTTATCTCTCGGGTAACTGTAGTAGATCTTCATCTGCAAGTCACTATTTATAAGAACATGACAGAAATATGTCTCAAGACGTCACATGTGGCTCATTCGTTATTAGTTAGGTGATTGCGTTAGGTATAACAAGCTCGCACACATGACCAGATGTAAGTCTCTGTATTGGTTTCCATGGCGGGCATGACGCAAATTAGTCGTGTTATGCATCAATGTAGTTTTATGGACGAACACTTATATTCATTGTCCTTTTTTGGGCAAGGCAGAGCTAAATCTGCTACACCGGAGACATCTCTGTATTGTCAAGTCTCTGTATTGGTTTCCATGGCGGGCATGACACAAATTAGTCGTGTTTTGCATCAATGTAGTTTTATGGACGAACACTTATATTCATTGTCCTTTTTTGGGCAAGGCAGAGCTAAGTCTGCTACACCGGAGAAATATACGTGAGTGGCTGTAAGACAACACATACAAAATGTTTACAGTCTGCACATGTTCGAAATTTTCAATTAAAAGTGGTATTCCCCATTTGTATGGGGGTTTTAAACTGAAATAGTTATTTTGAAGGCCATACAATGCAGCTGACAGGCATGCCATTAATATATCATGCCCTTAGCAGGGTAATCGTAGAATAACTTAAGCATAGCACCATAACGGGGAATGCAAATGCAAGTAAAAAAAAAAAAAACGATGCCACCGGGGAGAAAATAGAGGAACACAACTAGAAAATATAAATACACACGTAAATAACACCATGGAATAAATTCTGCACACATTAACCAATGACACAACCCCGCGGTGAGTAAAGGTACCACGAGTGAGCCGTCACGACATCCATTATACCGGTAACTCTAACTTAAGTCTGGCAGCAACTCTGACGTCATAAAAACGGCCCATGACATCATCAACCCATGACATACTGAGGTGCATTGCTACTAAATGATAAAATTATATTATTTAGAGCATTATAGTTTATTTAAAAGCACTGCAATAGTTACAAGTGAGCTTTTTGCATCATATGTGATATTTACCTCAATACCTTCAAATGTGGAACAGTCGTTTCGGCATGCGATCGGCCGGGCAACGATGTGTTATCCACACACCGAATGCAATTCATTTTTATATCGGTGCTGGGAGTAATTCCTTTATTACAGCAGCGTTTTGCGAAGACGCTGTATAACTTTTTTGCTTTTATGTTGTGCAGTTCTGTTAATCATCCAATGTGTCTTGAATGTCTTTTATTCTTGTCGCACTGCTTTGATTTCTTAGATCTTCACATGGCAGGGTTTTAAGATCACCCTCTTAGCCGATTACATGTTGCTGGTCCTCCCGCTGATGCCGAAAGGTAGGATTTCATGTCCCAAAATGAAGAATTTGGTATTCAACGACGTTCAGTTCCTTTTTGTATAACTTAAGTGCACCTCCTTGATGACGACGTGTATCTCTTTTGTACAGGTACAAGCGTTTTCTATGCCATTATTTCTTACATTTAGCTTTTCATCTTGACATTCGATAGGTCAACGTCATGACTTTGCACTCATGACGCCATGACGGTCATACTGTCTTTAGGGCCCGTATGTTTGTCAGGAACAGTTCATCGCATTCCACAAACGAGCGTATTAATAGACTCCCTCCGCAGATATTTTCGGCCCTGGGCAAAATCTATACAACTTGTGCGCCTATGACCTGCATCTCCTCAGTTGTGTGTTACACACTAATTGTTGTATGCAACGCTGTTATAGACTCCCAGCTGGATTGCTTGTCGTAGCTTTTCAAAATCTAATCGTTTTTCTGTGCAGTGCCCGATTCAACTTCTGCCCTTTTCTAGCCATTTTCGTGTAATCGCCAAACCGGCCCAGTTAGAACGTGGAAATTTGAGAACGTTTTCCAGATGCCAATTTCATATACGCTGACAAAATATTGACACTCTTCATCGTCTAAAGGCGGATCCATAGGTACATGATTCGTTTGGATGCATCGAAACACAAGCCGCTGCATTTTCAGACGCAAACAGTGGTAGATTAGGGAAATCGGGGCTATGTGGGCCCCAGAACTATTTGGTGAATTGAAAATCCCTTCGTCGCCATATAAGAAGCATCTCCAGTAGTTTGCTTTTGCATGGGCAGGGGTTCGGACCCTTTTCGTACGGGATGTCGCAAAGTGATGCCATTTTTCGAAAAGCTGCAAAATGTTTGCTTTCACGAGGCCGTCTCGTGCATCTGCGTGTAAACTTTATATGTACATAGAATCACACCTTTTTGCTCATTTCTCGTTGAGACTTTAAGTATCATCCCAGCAAAGTCCCACCTTCCTTTCAGCAGTTAAAGCGACTATTTGAAAAAAACGTTTTCATGTCTCCAAACAGATAATGAATCACCATAAATCATGTTTCTTAGCGGCTGAACTGCCACGGACAAATGTCGAATGAATCACCATAAATCATGTTTCTTAGAGGCTGAACTGCCATAGAAAAATGTCGATGATATTCAAGGATAAACAAAGATGGTGAACCAACATTGTTTTCGTTTGTGAAATCGATATTTGGAGAGGAGAGAGGGATTGACAGTTGCAAAGACCCGTGCGCGTCGAAGCCTTGCAACAAGCATGCGTTTTTCTCACACCGCCCTTTGTATCTCGCAGCTGTCATTTATCGGTAACATTGTAAGACGGATACAAGTGTCAGAATATGGATGGAGGGGCAAACGCACTGTTCACTATGTTGTAGGTAATGTTTTCTCGATATTTTATTAAGTTGTTAATTTGTTTAGGCCCGGCACTAAGTAGATAAGCGGATGTTTGCCTCTATATACTGCCTTTGTGCGCTTTTCGGACCACGATATTCACCATATCTAAGCGCAGGAAAAGTTAGGATATTTCATTGATTAGTTTCAAAACTTTGAAACCTTATACTTCAACCCTCCTGAGCGCACCATTGACTTTTTTGTAAAGACTTCGGCCTTTGGATTGAGGTCCTCAGAGCGGAAGACGATATCCAGTCCTGGCGTCGATTTCCCGAGGATATTCAAGGCGGAAAAGAGTATTTGAGGACGAAACGCCAAACCAAGGGTAAGGCTCCGTGGCAAGGCAGGGCTCAAGGCGCTGTAAGATATACACCAGAGGCAAGAGGTTAGGCTACGCGACCACTGCTGGATGCGTTAGAGATCAAGGCTAGGCTACCCTGCGGCCAACAAAACATAAAATAGATGTTAGTAAGGCGATGTGGCCACGATTCGAGAAATTTTGAAATAAGTCTCTGGGGCCAAGATGTAAGCCGGGTGGGGGGGGGGGGGCGGGTCAAGATGTAAGACGCTGGGGACAAGATGTAAGACGCTGAGCCAGTGGCCATGACGTTCGGTGTAGCTGAGGCAGACGTCTGCTTCCGATGGTGTGCTGCTGGATGGCCCGATTCCCGGCAGCCGGCCACGTCAACTATCAGCAGGGGTCAGGTCACCGCTTCTTCTGCCAGGTCATTAAGTTGTTCCGTACTGCTCTTCATCGGCACTGCTTCATGGAACCGCAAACCGGTGCGCGGCTCGATCGACGCGGGCTGCGCCGATCCGGTGCTAAGTTGTGTTGCCATCGCCTGGCGGTTTCTGTTATCTTGTTCTGCCCCAGGTAGGTTGTTCTATCTCCATCCTTCCTCCCGAATTAAGGACTGCTTACTGGCTCTATTACGGAAATCGAAGTTGTGCAAGGAGTGTGATTATAATTTGTGGCTGTGAAATTATATTTTTGTGCCGGGCTGCGTTAGGTTTATGGATGCCCAAATAAAGTCATTCCATATTATGTGGTACTAGGCTTGCCTTAAACGTGGGTGCTAGCAAGCCTAAAACATCGGTGCCTTACATTGTCTCGACAGATGAGGGCATCTTCCGTTTCATTGGCGACTTCTACGTCTGAGATACGTGTGACACAATGCAGTTGGAGGTACGATAGTAATCTGCAAGAATTGTACAAGGGGTACTTTTTTCTCTTCGCGACAATGAAGCTTATTGCGAATAGTGAAAATTGCCCTGGTGGACTCCTCTGCATATTGGGAATCTCGGTTGAGTCCGTAGTCCTGGGTATGTAACGGGCGGAATATTTTTGGCACGTTTTTGGGAGCACTAATGCACATATATCGCAATGAAAATTGCTAACCTGACCTCGTGAACATTCTTAAAGTAGCTGCACTAAAAGGTGATAACCTGGGTGCTCGCGTCGGTACTCATTTGCTGCGGTATCCTTCATTTGGTCCGTTCATACGACACCTTGTCTGCCATTGCTGACATGCCACCAGAAGAGGTACGAGAGACACACTTAGTCACTACAATCTATTGTGGTTTTATTGAAACCGTTTGACACACAACATTCAAGATAAAAGATCGCACCCGGGTGCATTCGGGACCTCTGCAATGGCTCCCATAGTGACTGCATGTGATGGATTGTTCGGACCCTGCCAGTAGTCTGACAGGGACGGTGGGTCGGCGGAAGGGGCAGAGGGGGTAACAGTCTTTAATTTTAAGGTATGAGCGAGAGCATGAGCCTTACGGCGTTGCATGACAAAAAACCGACTCCGCTGCTCCCCTAAGACTGAACAGAAGGCTTGTCTTGAATAGACTCTGCCGCCTCTGTAGCATGTTCCCATGCTGGGGTGACTGCTAAGCGACGGCGTTCCGGCGGGGCGCTTTGTTACAGCTGCTGGGCGGGCCTGATGGGCCTAATGGACTGCTGAGGCCGGCCTGATGGGCTGCTGAGCAGGCCTGATGGGCCGCTGAGCAGGCCTGATAACTGCTGAGCGGGCCTGATGGGCCGCTGAGCAGGCCTGATGGGCTGCTGAGCCGGCCCGATGGGCTGCTGATCCACCATAACGGGCTGCTGAGCAGGCCTGATGGACTGCTCCGCTGAGCTGACCAACACCGCTGTGCAAATGGCGGCAGCATTGCCTCACCTTATCTTTTGACAGGTGCTGCTGATCCGGGCTGCTGCGGCGCTGAGACGATGACCAGCGGCTATCCGACGGGGCTACTCGTTACGGCTGCTGAACTGGCTCGCTGCTCTAATCAGCCTCGGCGCTCTGACTGCCCCCTGTTGCAGCTACCGTCGTGGCATGCTGGTCTGCTGAGCTGCTGGGCTGCTGAGCCGCTGGGCCGCTGCGCTGGCTGACGGGGCGCCTCGTTACAGATTGCCGCCGACGCTGGTCGCTTGCGTGCCAGCAGGACTGTGTGCGCGGCGAGGGGTCCAAACGGGGCAGGTGCGTCTGTCATCAGGGATACCAGCTGCAGCCCGACGGCGCAAGCTGCCGGCCCACAGGTGTGCTCCACGTCAGTGCAACGCCTCCCGCCGCTCAGCGGGTCACACTAGTTTTGTCCTCGCCGAATATGGTTCTTAATTTATCTTAAGCGATTTTATTCTCTTTTCATGTGGTGTTTATGGAGACACGAACGCAGAATCGTGTAATTCCAACATTGCTGGCAACAAAGGGCATGTCACCGAATGCCATTGAAAATATGATGAACTCACAAAGTGAGATAGACAAGAAGTTAAGCCCAGCGACCATCCAACATCAACGTTAACCGTGCATTTCACCGTGCGGTCTCAAATCCATTTACTCTTTTTAAACATGTTTCAACATGTCTGTTTTTACCACGATTGCTGAACCTTGGGACTTCAGATGTTTGCAGTATCCAACCAGCGGGACCCGCGTATCCAACAAAATGCGTGCGATCATTGTCAAAAACATTTCTGTGACCTGTCCTGGACTGGTGAGGTGGGGTGTCCGCAGAGACTTCACTGGAGAGAGTACTTTACTTAACATGTGTAAGTATATTAACTGAGGTAGAGTCTCTTCAGTATTCTTCAAACGCAAGATTTAGTCCAATACAACACTTTCTTTTCATCCCTGCTCCAGGCGGGCTCTTCGTTAACGGTATTTTGGGTAGGAGGATGGGTCTGGAGAAATACTAAGATCTTGGGAAATATTGAGTCAATTATGCAAATAAATATGCGTGGTTTGACAGCTGTCGACATGATCTATATTTCTAAGAGATGCATAGAAAACTATGTTCCACAATGACGACAGGAAGAGTTGAGCTAACCCTAAATGTTAAGGGCATGTTTGATACGGAACAGTTATCACTGATGTCGACCGATTTCAACGCGACCAACGGACAACGGCTGGTAACAATTTCCAGTCTGACAGATTGGGACGATATGCTGTAACTGAAACTTCATGCATACATCCAGGAGGTAGAAAACGGATTGCCGACAAAACTTGTTAAGACGATTTTTCATTGAGTGTAAGTCGGGCAAAGCGATTTTGCCCTACTTTGTTGTCATAAATGTAGGTGCAATCCAAAGTTTTGGCATAGGTGGAGTAAGGTTGCCTATTTAGGTGGTGAAGAGGGGAAACTACGTGATTGATCAATGATACTGTCGGCCACAATGCTCATATACTCCATAATTCATCATATTGCCCGTATATGTATTTAGGGGCGTAATTTTGCAATTAAGTTCATGAGGGCTGGGCGGGGAAAATGGCCACATCTACTCAAAGTACACAAAAAGGGATTTTGCCCCCAAATTTGAGCCCCGTAACATCTTTTTTACTGGAAACCCATTTGGCTGTTTTTGCTTTGTTACATACTCATTTTGCAACTGTCCTATTCATTGGAAGTACCTTTTAGCCTGTGGACGCAAGACAGTGCGCACACTGCCGAAGAGATCACGATCTTTGAATGATCGCCAAATTCCGCTCGCGGTTGCTCCCAATATGTGGTCTTGGGACGACCCTTCGCGCAATGTGTCCGATTTTTTTACGTAGTACGCAACAAACGCAAAGGAAACTTCACAAAATCGCATTAACCTATTCAAAACCGGCAACTTTGCTGATTTTGGAGCATCCTGCGAAAAACCCACCGGGGAGTTCTCCCCGTCCTGCCCAGACAAGAGTTAAAGGAATTTGGCGTATCAGACAGTTGCAGGTAACGTTGCTTTGATTCCTTTAAAGCGCGTCGCAGGAAAACCAATGGGAATATCCTTGTGATAGAAAGAAGCTGGCATGACACTGACCTTTAACACAATCATGCAATAAATACGCGAAATACCGAAAGTAGATACATCACTGTGCAAAGCGCGAAAATGCTATTGCATTTTTATGTGGCATGTAACTATAAACGCACTGTGTTCAACGCGAGCCAAATTTGTAACTGAAACCTGGCCATCCGCCAAGCACGAGGGGAATGCGGTCTGCTGGGACGGATGCTTTTTCTTTTTTAATGAGCCTTATGTCCGCGACAGCCACGAACTCCTCTCGATAGGCTCACGCCATTCTCACGACCCCACTCCTCTCATTTGATGAAAATTTAATGAGTGAGGCTCTCATTAACTGCAAAACCGGTATGGGAGAATGGACAGGATGATAAATCGGCTTTCTGCTCGGGTGAGCGGCATCACTGTTTGCATAATGTTTGGCTGTCTTTTTCTCGGGCGGTGTTTAGGGATCAGTTAATGATGAGAACGACCTCCATAACCATGCATGCATCACAGCCTCGAAAGTTTCTGGCAGCTCCGAGCCACGATCTCGCGACTCGCAGATTGATGTTCCAGCTACTGCGCTACCGGTGATGAGGGCTAGTGGAACGTTAGATGGTCATTTTACCCGTCTTACGATTTTGGCGGGATTTCGTAGCATCGGTAGCCATATTAGGCTGGTGTCTCCGCTGGGCTTGCTGATGCAATGCAAACACGGTACCATGGGTGTTTCTTCCGTAGTCTCTCGTACTTTCCAGGGCAGCTTTTGGTCGATCATGGTCATTTCGTTCGTCTTACGACGGCGACCGATCGTCGACACACAGAAATGCTGAAAAGAAAATGGGAGAAGGGTTTTTGGTAGGTAAACATCACAAAAACGTGATCCGTCATAACATCAAGCTTGCACACATCCACCGTGTATCCCGAGAGGTAAAAACGCATTAGGAGTAATAGCGTCGGTGTATGAATCGCGAGATAGCGGGTTCGAAGCGAATAGTAAGATTCGAGACTTTTAGCCATGGATAGCTGTACGCCAAACATCATCATACGATTCCCTCATGGCTGTCACGGGCGTACTGTCGTGTTGAGCACGTGGATCAATCGTCTCACGATGGTCTTGCCACAGACATATTCACTGCACATTTATGCACCACACATTCCAAACCTAACGACCTACTGCAAACGACCTAAGCCTGAGTCTGCCTCATCACATTTAAGAGCACATCATTGGTTCGGAGCTATGAATCCATAGCAGCTCGACGAATAAATGGAAACCCATGGAAGTAAGAACTCAACCTCCCCCTCACTCCCGAAATGTAACGCGACCCGCACCTAACAAATACCTCCACACACACACCCAACACACCCCTGTCTGAACAGATCCCCGGCCGATACCCGTTACCTGCATTGACATACTGCACTGCTCGTGGACTTCTGCACGACCTCATGCATGATCTGCATTGCAAAATGGGTATCCGAGCATGCGCGCCGCGAAGTCATGTACCCAAGCCACGCTGGACGTGGAAACGGCGTACAAGCGGCGCCAGGTGTTTGCTGTCTGGGCTGAGTTATCTCACGGTAGTGCATCTGTCGGACTACTGGTCTGCCGGTCCTGCGCGGCTGCCGCAGCTGGGAACGACTGCTGTCGGTTCAGGTGTCATGAATAAAACACTGCACACCGCCTCCACGCCAAGCGCGCAATTCTTCCGACCGCTGGTGGACTGGAGTCGTCTTTTTGTGGCATTGTTGGCCTCATGGACGTTCGTTACGTAATGTAATGTTAATGCAGGTTTGAAACCGATTATCCCTGCGTCGGATCCTGTACACTGGTGACGTCACCGCCTCACGTCTGTTGCGTCACCTGGTGACGTCATCGCTTCACGTCTGATGGGTCAGGCTTGACGGGGGTCAATGTTGGAATACACCTCATGACTGGAATGCAGCTGGCTTGGCCATATGACGCTCCCAGATTGTGATGCGGGAGCGCCCGCCATCATGTCCGCTTGGAACGTCGCGACGCCTTGGCCTGTTTACGCCATCTCGAAATTACTGATGGATAGGCTGTCTGCTCTGACAGAATGCTGGCTTCTGTTTGGCGCCGTTTTGTTTTGCGCGGCAGACCTCCACGCGCCACTACCATACACGGATTCCAGCAGTTTGATACATTCCTATGCTCGTTCTGTTTCTATGCAACAAATTCAGCGAATGATAACGTGCTCACTTATTCCAGGGATTCTATCCCCTCCCCCCCCCCCAGTTCTCCAGCAATTGCATAGCGAGAGAAAATGCATGACACTTGGCGTCAACAATAGGGATAATGCACTTTTCGTATTGCTAGTTTGCGAAAGGCACTTTGTGCAGTACAGACAGCTGACATGGAAGCTAAAGTGTAGCCATTGAGTTGATTTCCCTATGTCCAAAAAATCAAACATGCAATAAACAGGCGCCCGTGTAGCCGGCTGAATGCGATGCGCTCGGGCCGGGGATCACTTGCAGCCCTCGCCCCACCCCCCACCTCCCTTCTTCATCAGAACTCTCAAATTTACGTAAGTTGCTCAGTGCATTAGCGAGGAGCATTATTCACATAGATAAGACAATAGTATTAGCCTTATTCCTCGGGGAAAAACCAGGAAAATGGAGATACAGTTGTGTTATACCAACTGTATCTCCACTTCCTGGTTTTTCTCCAAGGAATAAGGACAATACTACTGTCTTATCTAGAGCTCTCAAATATCAAAAGAGCCGTGAAAATAAAGAGCATGCAAGGTAGGTAGAGCTCCACGTGAACTCTGTGTCAAACTTTGAGGTCTCTGGGCCATGAATTCAAGGTTAAATAAGGTAAAATGGTCAACCTTCAGACTGGTGTTCGAAGTGCTCAGACTTCCTCAGGCAACGAAGTTAAACTCATAGCATTTTAAAGCAAAAGGTACTGGTGCTCATATCAGGTCAATAATATTACTTGATCTTGAAATATTAAGGTAACAGCTAACCCTCAAATTGTTTTCATATTTTGATTTACAGCCGGCGCCAAGAACTACGCTAGGCAGCATCTTCCTGCAAGCAAGCGGTTGATCACAGTCACTTCTGGTCAGTGACCTGCCCTGACCTCATGAAGTCAAACAAGATATGTTTTGATGACCCTGTGCTCAAGGAATTCAAAGCGGCTTTAAAATCCATCCCATTGAGCGAGTTTTCCAGTAATAAAGCGGCTTGGTTTTTACCTTGATTTGACACCAATTTCTGACCCGAGGGCAATGCAATTAGTTTAAATTCTAAGTGCGATTGTCTAATAATTTATAAAACCATTTTAAAGTTGCATGACTTCGTCTGACAATCCGTTGGCACGTCAGGCCGAACGGTTTGCTAGAGGTTACCTCCACTAACAACCATGCCCTGATTTCGACCGGCTTTAAGCCAGCGAACTTGCAGGGGATATTTTGGTTTTAGATACAAAGATCGGTCATTTAGTTGGATAAATCACGTCGTTCGGAAGTTTTTCCGAAGAAAAAAAATGTTTGGGGTTGGGATCAAATTGCCTCGGCCCACCCGAGCGCGTGTGAAGCGGAGTTACATAATGCGTGATATAATGAGCTCCTGTATGAACACTTAAGAATATTTTTCAAAGTCGATGCAACGAAGAATAAGCGAGTGTCGTTTAACCTTCCCCCTGATCCACTGGTTTTAAAATTTAGCTGATAAGAGGAGCCGATGCGACTTACCCCTTGTTGTTTCCAAACCGAGAACGAGTGAGGCTCATGGAATAACCAGTGGAGAGATCCTCTACGATACCATGGGAATTGAGCAAAATGATGCTCGGTCAACAATTGCCTGCACTTTGCCAGCTAAAAGATAAACTTTTCCTGAAAATCGTATTTTCCAGGTTTACATGCCAATACTTACGGAGCCATGCGAGGCAGCCATGTGCTCCTTGTTTTCTTCCGAGTATGTTGGTGTGTAGTTTTGTATGTTTTGGTCATAGTTGTATGATGTAGTTCATGTAACAGCGTCGTGCCCGTTGTGCGTGACTGACGGATCCGTCCGTTGCCAGCCGCCGGTCTCGCCGGTCGTAGATTACAGCTGGCCGACGTACCGGCAGTGCAGTGTCTGAAAAACCGCCACTTCGCGTTGCCACTCGGAGATCAGAAAAAGCTAGAGACATATCTAGCGACATAAGCTATAGCTGCATAAACTCTAGCTAGCTATATAAGCTAGATAGGGACATAGGGTGCTCGAACATTTGCAATGAACTCCAACGTAAGAAGGGGTTAACTCCAAACAGATGAACTGAGCCTTCTGAAAATTTGGGCGAGATTGCGCGGCACGCCAGAGAGATATTCACAGAAGACCTTCTAAAGAGGGGGGAGGGGCGGGGATCGCATCAGACAGCCAGCCCACCCCGCCGCCAGGGCGATGATCAAGAATTATTTGCATCGTAACATGCTGGAAAGGCACACGTGGATTTCTTCGACACTCACCATTGAAATGGCATTTGCTCGTAACATATTGCGCTGGCAATTTTCCGGCAGTGTATGACGTTTGTACCTGAATAATTATTGCAAACAATTGTTCGCAAATAAGGACAAGGTCCGTACGCCCACACTCACCACAGTGCATGGCCTAGCACCTTGTTCGTACCACGCCGCTCCGCGCCGCCATCTGGTCCGCTATGACCCCGTTCTCGGCCTCCGCAGCTCTGCGCCGCTATATCATCGAGGTGACGATCCGTGACCGGGACATCCAGCTGGACGACACAAACGTGAGCGCCTCGCTGCGATGAGCCCTACCCACGTCAGCCACGCGGGCCGTCGCCATCGACGAGCCGACCCCAGCAGAGGGCCGTCGTCACCGACGAGCCGACCCCAGCAGAGGGCCTCTCTATCGGCGAGCCGACGCCAGCAGAGGGCCGTCGCCATCGACGAGCCGACCCCAGCAGAGGGCCGTCGCCATCGGTGGTCCAATCCCAGCAGAGGGCCGTCGCCATCGGTGGTCCAATCCCAGTAGAGGGCCGTCGCCATCGGTGGTCCAATCCCAGCAGAGGGCCGTCGCCATCGGTGGTCCAATCCCAGTAGAGGGCCGTCGCCATCGGTGGTCCAATCCCAGCAGAGGGCCGTCGCCATCGGTGGTCCAATCCCAGTAGAGGGCCGTCGCCATCGGTGGTCCAATCCCAGCAGAGGGCCGTCGCCATCGATGATCCGACCCCGGCAGGGGCCGTCGCCACCGACGAGCCAATCTCAGCAGAGGGCCGTCGCCATCGGTGGTCCAATCCCAGCAGGGGCCGTCGCCATCGATGATCCGACCCCAGCAGGGCAGCGCTGTTCGCGCCGGCTGCGTCCATATGGCCTGTTCTCGGCTGTTTGTTTGTGGTTTGGTGGTGATTGATACGGTAGACGTCCCTGACCGGCGGCTGGACGGTCCACTCGGCATGCCTCCACGGGGCGGTCCGAGAGGCGCTGGTGGCGGTCCAGGATCCACCCCACAGGATTGGCGGCGGTCCCGGGTCCACCCCATGAGACTCGCTTCTGCACAGTGCCATTTCCACCCTCAACAGCTCGCTATTGCCCAGTGTCATTGTCAAAAAATGCTTGTCCGGCTTAAAGTAAGCTTTGTTTGATTCACGCCACGCATCGCGTACTAGTGGTGGGATTTCGCGGGTCTGTCTTACCGTGGTCGACGTCATGCCGGGGTTGTCACGTCTTCTCCGCGCGACATCTCCAGTAGGCATGTGAATGAATGCTGTATGTCGTAAGATATGATGCGATATCTGTTTACAGATCGAAGCTCGCTTTCGTTTCAATCGCACACGGTTTCAAGACTCCAAGCCTCTTCGAATAATTGAAAACCCGTGAGTGAATCATCGCATCCGTTCAATTTTTCAGGCTCAAATGTTCTGCCAGTCACCCTTGCAAGTTATTGATCATGTCTAAGACATTCCTATGTTATTATAGTTCCCCTGATGAACATTCCTCACAGACACTTCCATTTCGGATGGGCGGCGTATCTTCTGAACGCCACCTGACTGATTGCGCACTGGCGCCGGTGGTGCTGGCGCTGACGCATGTCTGTCGCCGGTGGTGCTGGCGCTGACGCATGTCTGGGCGCCGTCCGCCGACGCCGCTGACACTCGCCCTGCCGGCAGCGCGGGCAGTGCCCGGCACCAGCTGCAGTTCTCGCTGACGCCGCTGACACTCGCCCTGCCGGCAGCGCGGGCAGTGCCCGGCACCAGCTGCAGTTCTTGCTGACGGCGCTGCTCGCGGACGAGGCGGCCGTGTACGGCTGGGTCGCCGACGCGGTGCGTCGCGGCCGGCTCGGGGACGTGCGCGTGCGCCCGCTCCGGTTCGGCTTCCGGTCCGAGCCTGAGCTGCTCATCATGGTGAGGGTCCCGGCGGACCAGCGCGGCAGTCACTCAGGCTCAGCACGGGTTACTGCTGCCGCTGCTGCAGCCGTACGCCGAACTTGACGCGCAAACTACAGCACTTACAAACAACTTGCGCTGAAAGGCTCCCGTGAGCTTAGCCGTGCAGGAACTGGCTGGGCGCCTTCTTCCGCCTCACTATTATCGTTAAAGTTTGACTGGTCCGCCAAGCACGTCAGACTGGCCTGTCCGCTGACTTTGCCAGAGCTTGACTGGTCCCGTGTCTGGCATGGTCCGACCGGCTGACGGGACCGTCGAAATCTGACTGGTCACTCGTGTTGGTCAGAGGCTGACTGGTCACTCGTGTTGGTCAGAGGCTGACTGGTCACTCGTGTTGGTCAGAGGCTGACTGGTCACTCGTGTTGGTCAGAGGCTGACTGGTCACTCGTGTTGGTCAGAGGCTGACTGGTCACTCGTGTTGGTCAGAGGCTGACTGGTCACTCGTGTTGGTCAGAGGCTGACTGGTCACTCGTGTTCATCATAGAACCACCGTTGCGCTGTGTTCCGCAGAATCTGACCGGTCCTCTGCGTCCGTCACGGTGTGGCTGGTCCAGATGTCCTTCAGGGTGTGGCTGGTCCAGATGCCCGTCAGAGTGTGGCTGGTCCAGATGCCCGTCAGAGTGTGGCTGGCCCAGATGCCCGTCAGAGTGTGGCTGTCTCAGATGCCCGTCAGAGTGTGGCTGGCCCAGATGTCCGTCAGAGTGTGGCTGGCCCAGATGTCCGTCAGAGTGTGGCTGGTCCAGATGTCCTTCAGGGTGTGGCTGGTCCAGATGTACCGTCAGAGTGTGGCTGGTACAGACTGTCCGTCAGAGTGTGGCTGGTCCAGACTGTCCGTCAGAGTGTGGCTGGTATCAGATGACCGTCAGAGTGTGGCTGGTCCAGATGTACCGTCAGAGTGTGGCTGGTCCAGACTGTCCGTCAGAGTGTGGCTGGTCCAGACTGACCGTCAGAGTGTGGCTGTCTCAGATGACCGTCAGAGTGTGGCTGGTCCAGATGACCGTCAGAGTGTGGCTGGTCCAGATGTCCGTCAGAGTGTGGCTGGTCCAGATGACCGTCAGAGTGTGGCTGGACCAGATGCCCGTCAGAGTGTGGCTGGTCCAGATGCCGTCAGAGTGTGGCTGGCCCAGATGTCCGTCAGAGTGTGGCTGGTCCAGATGTCCTTCAGGGTGTGGCTGGTCCAGATGTCCGTCAGAGTGTGGCTGTCTCAGATGACCGTCAGAGCGTGGCTGGCCCAGATGACCGTCAGAGTGTGGCTGGTCTAAATGTCCGTCAGCGTCTCATCCCCGTGTACTGTGCCTCCAGAATCTGATTGGCCCACCATTGCGTCAGAGTCTGTCCGGCCCTCCGTGTCCACCAGCACCTGATCGGTTTGCCGTGTCTGTCAGCGCCTGATTGGTTTACCGTGTCTGTCAGCATCTGATCGGTTCACCGTGTCTGTCAGCGCCTGATTGGTTCATCGTGTCCGTCATCGTCTGATGGGTTCACCGTGTCTGTCAGCGTCTGATGAATTCGCCGTGTCCGTCAGCATCTGATCGGTTCATCGTGTCCGCCAGCGTCTGGTCGGCTCAACGTGTCCGTCAGCATCTGGTCGGTTCACCGCGTCTGTCAGCGTCTGATCGGTTCACCGTGCCAATGAGAACTGACCGGTGCACTGCGTCCGCCAGGGGCTGACTGTCGACAACGAAGGCACTCCCAGGTCGCTGGGGTCCCAGGTGCGGCTGACCTGCCGGGTCCGTGGCGCAGCGACCGCTGAGGTGCGCTGGTACAAGGGTGGCGCGCTCATCAACGCCACCAGAGCCTCCACCATCAGGTGAGGCGGCACGGTCCATTCCAACCGTATTTGAGCGAGTTGGGAAGTTGACATGAGACTCGACTTGTATCATTTCGGGTTCGCATCATTATGGTTTGTCATTCGGCTTATCATCAGGTTTGTATAAATCCAGAAAATGGAGGTTTCGCCTTTAGCCGAACGTTATTTTGCTTCCAAATTTAAGGCCCGTTGTATCATATTACTGTTTGACCAGCCCTTCTTGGCATGCTTCATGCAGTGCGGGATAGACAATTTGTTCGTTACCACTGAACCAGCCAACAACCTTTCCGAACCCAACCCGGTGGTAGCCCAATGCTGCCCAGTGAGCTGGGGCGCACGCCATCAGTCATCTACAGTGCAAACCCTGACAGCGTAACAGAAAGACGACACCCGGGTCTGCTTATCTAGCGGTGTCTAAACACGGCCGGCGCGCCGCTCGCGCCTGCCCGCGGAGACGGCCGGGCGGCGGCGCTCCGTGCCCGCGCGCGCTCAGTGTGCAGACCGTCCACAACACGCGCACGGGACTTCCGACGACAGCTGCGGACTGCGGACTGCAAACGAGCGGACGGTGTCTCTCTGTGCCAGCGTGCACTCAGCGCGCAGACCGTCCTGAACACGCGCATGTGACACCCGACGACAGCTGCGGACTGCTGACGACAGCGCAAGCGACGGCTCGTCAGCTGTCTGCTCTGCGCACGGTGGATTGCCGTTCACCGGACAGGGCCGCAACCCAAAGCTACAGCCCTGTCGCCATCACTGGCCAAGATCTCTGGTTGACGACCTGTGCACGTGCAGGTCACAGTCACCATGAGGTGCTGCATCGGTTCAGCATTAGTGGCTGGAACACGGTACCCACATATTCACGGAAAGCTCGCTGCAACAGGAATTGCTACGCTGGAGACCGGCAGTGGCGGGTAAAGTCGTATAGCAGTAGGGGCAAGATAGTAGAGGAGATCAAGTAATTTAAGTGATAAACCTTCCCTGGTTTATCACTTAAATGGCTGAGGCTGAGCCGGTTCAGCCTTTATCACGCACAAAACAGCTGGAGTAGTAACTCATACTAAATAGTAAATAATACTAAATAAGCTTCAACAACATTATTTTAATTCGGATGACGGCTTTCGTCAGGTGACTGACGCCCAATCATTGAATCCATGAAGAACACAGTAAGCCGTGAACGTGAAATAGATTATCTTAACACTCCATGTTTCCCAAATTTACCTAAACATGATTTTCACTGAAGTGCTGAACATACATCGTACAGATGAATGTCCAACACAGTTCGCACCGATATGCGGGCCCAGCCTATCCCACCAAGCGGAGCATTATTACGGCGTGTGTATCCCCTACACGTTCCCTGCACGTCTTCGACAAAGCTTGCGCGACCACGTGGTGCATCAGGCCAGGCGCGCACTGTGGCCTGCCTCCTACGTGGAGGCGGGCATGCGCCCCGTGAGACTTTATTATCTGTTGTTGGAAAGGGTGACCTCTTAATCTAAGCCCGTATTTCTTCAATGATCTCACGGTCTTCCCTCCGCCTTCGTCTTCCCTTCTCTGACAAACCCTCCACAAAATGCCCGCTCCAAACTCCTTTTCATGTCAGGTTTCGCGTCGGACAGCGAGGTTCCAACCTCCAGTCGCCACGTCAACAATCATGTCCTTTCAGCTTTCCTCCACTCAAACTCCACAAAACCTCATGTCCTTTCAGCTTTCCTCCACTCCTCTTTCCTCATGTCCTTTCAGCTTTCCTCCACTTTTCAGCTCCACTCAAATCATGTCCTTTCAGCTTTCACCCCGCGTGCATTCCCACACTGGCAAAATCCGCCTTTAAACGTAGCTGATGACTTTGACACACTCTCCCACTCGATCCCCTGATCCTACAGGTCATCATATTACGTTAAAATGGCGGGAGCTTGCGCCCCCGTGCTTCTTCGAAGAGTTTGAGTCCCGACTACACCACTCTCGCGCTGTACCTCATCATCGTCGACATCATCGCCAGAAACAAACATATGTTCAACGCTAGTATCACTAGTCTCGGCCTCTGGCATCGTCTGTCCACCATCGTAATCAGTCCACCATCATAATCAGCTCACCATCATAATCAGTCCACCATCATAATCAGTCCACCATCATAATCAGTCCACCATCATAATCAGCTCACCATCATAATCAGTCCACCATCATAATCAGCTCACCATCATAATCAACAGAGGCCGGCACGGAATCAAGGCTACTTACAACGCTTGGCCTTCGTGAGTGTGCCAGCTCGGGCCGTGACAGCAACGCGAGGCGAAGGTCACGTACGTGACGCGAAACACCATCAGCTTCAACACTCTGGCATGACGCCACGCAGCTCACAGTACCAAGCGAACTCGGCACATTACAACGTCGACTAGAATCGCGTACCCGTATATGATCACCCACACTGTACCGACCTTGCTCTTCATACGAATTCGCATTCGCATCGGGGTCAATATCGCAGACTCGAGATGCAAAATTGAAGAGTGTCTGCAGGGCTGGAGGCAGGCCATCGTTGCGCGGCATCACGTTATACCTATACACAGCCTTCGCCACCGCACAACCCCGGCGTGCTGCGAGCGCCTTGACGGATCGGAAATATCGTTCCCCGACGGGGCATCTGAGCGATAACACTGTCAATGTCCTGCCACCCGAGCCGTCTCCAAACGGCGCACCTGGAGGGGCCGCAATCCGTCAGTGTTAAGAAATGCTGACCATCAACATGACAGACGTCCATGCTCACTTGGTCCCTACTTTGCATTACCTCCAGCGAACCATGTTGCCATCGCTGTGGATCGATAGACTGACAAGCTGGCCACTGGCGCACCACCTGCTGTATCTGTTTCCGCGCCGCGGATGGGTCCAGCCTCTGCAGAGGTGGAGCGTGCGCCTGATGTCCGGGTGCCCGCTGGTCTCGTGTACAGCCACGATGCCCCGTTCCGCCACGGCACTTCCGCGGGCTCCATGAGTCTCTGGGCCGCTTTAGCAGAGCCGAGCGACAGCCACATCTTCGCGACTCTAGCCAAGATGTCGGCCCTGTTTTCGGCCGACGAACGGAACAATCTTAACCTTCAGGTCAATATCGTAGTTAGCAACGACGCTCTTGATCGCTTCCAAGCGTCTCCGGATGAGCAACTCATTTGCCGCTTTCGTCTTCAACCGCGCCTTTCCAGACAGAGCGTCAAAGAGCCAGTAATACACAGTCATCGAGTCGGTGACGAGCGTGAAACGCTCCATTTTCCTTGTCACTTCGATACTTATTCCCCAAACCACGGCATCTGCTCAGCGAGGTTGGTATGGCAGTCCATGCTTTACGGAGCCAGCATGCATCTTCGATAACTTCTTCTTCAACTTAAAGGACGGCTCCTAGGCCGAGACAGCTTGCATCAGCCCACGTAACAGCGTCAGTCTTGGCCACGTCCCACCTCGTTCGAGCGGGATCTGATGCTCTGACACGCTGAAGTCTCTGCCATGCAACTGAGGACCGGTTATCTCATCGTCCCAGCTGGTTGTCCCCACATTGGCATGCCTCTTTAAGTATGACGTCACCACACGCAGCCAACCACAAACAAGAAGTGACTGGTCAGTCGACCACAGATGGAGAACACAGTCCGCCTCGTTCTCTTTGACGGCAGCTCGATGTCGCTTTTCGCTTGCCGCCAGGACAGTTCATGCCATTACTCCCGGACTATCAGCCTCAGCATGTGAGCTCCGTCCTCTGTGCTCAAGAGGTTGCACACCAACCCATGCTGCTCCAGATGAGCCCTCGCCTCATCTGAACTCATGACGTCTCCCATCACCAGGACGTCGTCTACGCGCGGACTGATGCGGCACCTATCTTTTCATCCCAGCTAAGCGCGATGCTCGACACCTTCCTCATGGCCAATGGCGCAATGCTCATGCCGAAACCGAGTCTGGTCAAGCACGCTCTTTGACCCTGCCAAACAGCAGTTCGGTGAGCCCACAGCGATTGATGTCCGCTGATCTGTAGGTAAGCGTCACGAAGATCTAGCGGGGCCACGTTTCTTCCGCACCGGCGCCACTCTTTGATCCTTCCTGCACAAACGTCCGCGTCAGCCGTGTGCGGGTCACTAGGAGGGCGTTCACTAGGAGGGCGTTCACTAGGTGGGCGTTCACTAGGTGCGCGTTCACTAGGAAGGCGTTCACTAGGAGGGCGTTCACTAGGTGGGCGTTCACTAGGAGGGCGTTCACTAGGTGGGCGTTCACTAGGTGGGCGTTCACTAGGTGGGCGTTCACTAGGTGGGCGTTCATTAGGAGGGCGTTCACTAGGTGGGCGTTCACTGGTCACTGGGTGGGCGTTTACTAGGGGCGTTCACTAGGTGGGCCCTCACTTTTCTGAAGTTCAATACTGGCCGTGCTTTACGCTTCTGTTGTAGCGTGACCATGAGGGGGATCGTTCCTCTCACTTTTCCGTGCAATCATTCTTCGCAACGGACGGGCCACCCTTCATACACCCACTTTGAGAGAAGTCGCTCACTCCCGGCGTGCTGCCGGCAGAATTCATACTCTTCGATCGTGTTCAACAACTTATCTGGGTCTTTTCTGCCGCATCATTTCCACTGAAACGACCATTTCTTAGCTGCCACGTTGTACGTCACAGTAAAACTAGTTTCATCGGAGCTGATTACCGTCGTGCACATCGCAGATGTGTGATCAGGCTGTCGCACAAGTTCAACGCCAAGACGGACGTCACACGTGCATAAATGGTCACACCTCGTATGGCGTTAACTCCGTCCATCCCCAGAATGAACGAAAAACCAAGTGGCTTCTGGACTACAAGCAAAACATTTACAGCCAGCCTGAGCTGATTGCAGTGTCGTATCCACCACCACGGTGCCCTCGCACCAACGTCGTTCCCCGCTGACAGTGGTCAGTCAGACCAACCTTGCACTTATTCCATCGCCGGCAAGCAGACATGTGAGCAATACTTCGTCCTGCATGCCGTGTCTATCAGCGCCTTGCAAG